AGTATTGATTATTATTTTTGTTCAAAATAAAAAAACAAAGTTCAAGGTCTAGTTTAATGATTTCCATTTCTCATAACAACAATGACAATAACAAAAAAATAGTTAAAAGAAAAAGAAAACATCTAATGGCATGGTATAGATGCCAATCTATTTCTAAAAGGCTAGTAGATGAAATATTCTAAATACATACGTAAAAAAAAATTATTTGCAAAGCTAAAAAAAGAAAATATTATAAAGAATAAACACGTCTTTAACTTATTGAAATATATTATGTTTTACAATCCAATCTAACTATTACTCATATATATATATAGATACAAAATTTAATAGGAAATTATGTAAATTACATTAGCTTGAAATTTGTATGAACATGAGATTTTATTTTTACACAAAAAAACAAATCTATAACTGCATGCAATCATATATGGAAATTGCTATTTTTGTTTGTAGAATTACATTTTATTCTATATCCGTACCATAATTGTGAACTTATGCAGCTATATAGTAAATAATGATTATGTTTGACATAGTCTTGCTTGTTGATTCTGAAAAAAAGTTTTTTTTTTATTTTTTTTTTATACATGTTCATATGTGAATTATGCAAATTTACATGTACTCGACATGATGTGTTTTGTAATGGATGTCAACAACTATTGTTTCTCGTTGAATATTTATGTATATTGATGTCATAGAACACATCAGACAAAGAAATCTTATATGAGAAAAAGAAATTGTAAGAAAAATTTTCATCTTTACTATTCTTAGAACGAATTAAAATATTACTTTTTTTTCTTCTAACAAATAAAAATCTCAATAGCTTGTATAATTTTTCTATAAAACCTTATTATATATTCTGTCAGTATTATGAAATAGAAAGGATTAGGATGAGGACAAATGCTAGCTAAGGATGAGAGAACTAGCTCTTTTGAACTACAAATCTCTTTTGATATAATTAAAATGTATTATATTCCATGAATAGATAAATATATCCCAGTAGTCTTTCAGCTTAATCTCATCTAGCTGTATGTAAAACTGCTCAGAAAGAAAAATTCTCGATCAAAAAAAAAAATTGATTTCAACTGAGATTTGGATAATTTTTTTTTCTATCTGTTCAATTTTATATGCGGCTAGATGAAACCAAGTCGAGTAATTCGCAATAAAAGTCTCGTAGGATTTTCTTAGAGAAAAATCCTTATCTTATATAGCGATACATGTGTTTCAGTACATAAGTTTACTCTTTGAGATAGTTAATGGAATCGATATCGCCATTCATTTATTTATGATATCAAGAGATTATTTATTTGAGAATAAAATTTAAACTAAACGAATGTTTGATATTATTGAAAAAATGATTTTACTTTTTTCTTTTCTTATTTTATATTTCGACATTTTCTGATCTTGAGTATTTGATTATCAACAGCATATTGTTGAACATAATAAATTAATTATCTAAATATATCAAAAAAAATAATATTCATTTATTTATAGCAATTGTTTAGAGTTGAATTTAAATTCAAGAAAATACAATTAAACAACATTTTAGTGGTTTAACATATTATTATTATTATTATAGTTTTGATACGATTGAAGTTTTAGCTGTATTTGGTTAATAACTTTTGTTTTTCTCGGTTGATTTGGACAATCTTGTCTTTAAATGTTATACTTCTTTGAACACTCAGCTGCTACACAAAATTTCAGCTCTTTGACTCACACTATCATTGAGTTATGAATGATATTTGTTGTCACATGCAAAAAAAAAAAATCAGAAAATTTTTCGACTATAAAAAAGCAATAGGAAAAGAATGTAATTAGTCTATTTTGTACAGCGTTCGATGTTATATTAAAATATCTAATTAATATAAATTTAATTTCTTTTTTTCATTCCTTCGTCCAACGTCCACATTGTTTGATAGATATTTGTATGTTTTTGTCTAGAATGAAACAAACTTGATTCTAGTTCTATTTATGCTAGAGCTGATAGTGTGCTGACTATATGAAAAGAAAGAGAATTCTTTCAGTAACAAACTGATGAGAAAAAGTTCTATCTTATTAGTCTTATTTCAGAAGACAGATGATAAGAGAACTTGCTGGAAAAAAATTCTATCAGACTCATTTTGTAGAGTGACGCTATTTTATAATTCTTCAATGAAACATTCGATTTGACTCAAATTTTGATCGTAGATATAAAACAAAAATTTCAGTTCTTAATCTTGTACTATTTAGGAAAATTTCACATTATACTACAAAATGTCGAGTGATGATTTTTCTGTAGATATTTTCAGTTGAACTCTTCAATAAGGAAAACCAATTTTATAATTGAATTAAATTGTATACAACATGTATGCCTCTTAATAATCAATGAAGTGTTGGGCAACTTTTGTCGCTTAACATAGTTATAGAGTATAATAAAATATACTACTCAGAAATTGTTTTAGATCTACTTTTAGTTTTTCGTGCTAATCATACTAAAAAGTTGTAATTCATTTATATAGTTGATTAGTTTATTATGTGTTCAACAATACACTGATAATGATCAATACTCAAGATTAGAAAATATTGAAATATTCGATATATATTGATTTAAAAAAAATAAATAAATAAAACAAAATCATTTTTTCTTTCTATTGCAAAAATTTATATTATTATTATTATTATTATTAATTTAACTTCTATGAAGAAAATTATTTAAATATATTAAATAAAGGATTTTTAATTTTATTTTGTATGAATATAATACAAAGATAGAAATGAAAATTTATTCGAAACGAACAAAATATCATCAAAAAATATTCTTAAATAAATAGTAAAATATTGTCAAAATAAAAGAATAAAAAATTCAATGTCAAAGGTAAATTTAATTCTAATATTTATTTCTGAATTAATCATATAGATTCGTTATTTTGTTTTTTTTTGTCTAATTTTATAAACATTGAATATGAGAATCGAGAAGAAATCTATTGTAATTCTTTATTGGATTTGTTTTCTTACATTTTTTAAATATATATATATATATATATATTCGAATAAATGAACATGTGAAATCAGATGACAACAAAAAAAACCGGAGCAGATTAACATTGACATTAAGTAAATACAAATGAGTACTAAGATATGACACTTGTTTTACCATGTACTCTTCGAGTTACAAAAAATAATATAGAACGAACATGATAAAAACGAGTCATCAGACCAATAGACGACGCCTTCAAATTGAGTTTATAAGAACGTTACGCTCTTAGATCTCTTTATTTTTTTTTTTTTATATTATTTACTCATCAATAGAAAAGATACATTCAATGAAATGAAAAGAAGAATAAAATCTGTTTCTTCTATTGAAATCTTTACAATTCTTATGTATACGATGCTTTCCAAATGACTGAATCAAGTTTGAAAAAATATTATCATTTTTGTTCTATTTTCTATCCACTAAAATAAAATCATGTCTTGTAAATATTAGATTTTAAAATAATAAAATAATTTCCAGTTCATAAATAAAATGCTTTTGAAATGTCAATGAAAAAAAAAACAATCATAAAATGAAAGTTTATTTTTTTTTAATAATATACATAATAAAAATTTTCAAAACAAAATTATTATTATTATTTTGTACAGTATAAATTAAACATATTTTATTTTTGTCTATATGAAGTTCATTTTATAAAAAAATTCATTTAATTAATTTCTATCATTACATTATGTTGATTAAAACGATCTACTTACTAGAATGGTTTTTTGCTTCTTTATTTTCTCATTATTATATTAAACCATTTCTTTTTCCTCTAATCAATAGAAATATTTCTTTTGAGAATAATTATGTAACACATTGATTATGATTCTTTTTAATGAAAGAATTCATTTTTGAGAAAAAAAGTCAGCAATACCAAATGCGTTATGACCACTTAAAGTAGTAATACAAGCAAGAAAAGTATTGACATATCCTAGTACAATAAATGTTACATATCCCATTGTAAATATTATTTTAGCAAATAAAAAACTTTCTTCTCAAGTGTTTCCTAATTCAATATAATATTAAACAATTTCGATTTAACTACTTATAAACTACAGTTAGAGCAAAACGATAAAAAAAAAGGAAAGATAAATATTATAATCAATATGAATTTGAATGTAAAGTTAACATATATAATCGAGTATATAATCTATTTAGATCAAATTTGATCTCGGAAAAAGGAAGTGAGAAATTGTTTTCTGTTTAACTGGGGGGAAAAAACATATGTGGTGCCCTCTAATGATATTATATTTGGATTGGATATATGAAAATAACCAATGTGTTGATTAGAATTTTGGGAGTGGGTGGGGGGCGAAGTGAGAAGAGGACGACGCGCGTCTATTTGTTTTGTTTTTTGGGAAGAGAGAAATAAACGTCGATTTTTCTTCTCATTCTCATCGTTTATAGAAGAAAAAAAAAAAAAAAAAGAAATATATATATAATATATATATATATATATTGTTTCGCAACTCGTGGTCGTTGATGAAAGACTCATTTTGATTACGACAACATCATTCGTACTCTAACGTTATTTTTGCATGTAATTAGGTGATGTATAGTATAATTGTTTTGTTTTTTTTTTGTAGCCTTTTTTTTTCATGTAGGACCTATCGTTATTTCTTTTTTTTTTTTTTTTTGCTTCATATTCGAATCACAAAATATATCCCGAGTTAGAACGAAAACAATAACAACAATAGAAGAAGAAAAATACATTACTACTCCTCACACTTTTACTATAGAATACATAAAAAAAAAAAACTATGCAAAAAATGTCCCGTGAGCAAATATGTCAGTAGATATTCATATTGAGTCATAGTGATTGGAATGTTGATGAATTTTGTATGAAAAATAACATCAATCATATGATTAATTTGTTCTTATTTAAAAAAAAAGAAAACGTATGTTTTAGATTGTATAACATAGTATCTTATTTTGAAAGAGATCAGGTGTTATTCTATCATTAATCATATACTGGATTGATATTATGTCGAAAATGCCATTCAGTTCTCTATTAGCATCTCGATCGAAGACTGATCATGCTAAACAATTAAAAGATTTCTTTACTGTGATTGAAAATGAACAAGATAAAGAAAAGAAAAATTATGAAGATGTAAGTTTTGAAAAAAAGAAAATGAAAAACAAACGAATTCTTTTTTTTTTTTGGATTAGGCAATTAAAAATATTCACAAAACTTTACTCGCATTAAAAGATGGTCTATTTGGTCCACGTGATGGTAGTAGTGAACCAGCGATAAGTGATGTATCACAATTATGTAGTGGAATTTATTCACAAGAACTTATAACAACAATGATAAATAATTTAAGTCGTGTGACATTTGAAGATCGAAAAGAAATTGTTGCCATATTTAATAATCTATTACGACGACAAGTTGGAGCAAAATATCCAGCTGTTGATCATATTATTCAACGACCCGGAATTTTATTTAAATTAATTGAAGGGTAAAAAGAGTTTTTTTTTTTTAAAATTCAGAGAAGAAAATTTTCATTATTATTTTTTTTTTTTTGTTTTCTTTATTTATAAACAAATTTAGTTATGAAAATGCAGATATTGCACTTAATTGTGGTATGATGTTACGTGAATGTATTCGTGTACAAGAATTGGCTGAAATTATTTTGAGATCACCGGATTTTTATAAATTTTTTGACTATGTACAAAAGTCAACGTTTGATATTGCCAGCGATGCTTTTGCTACATTTAAAGTATGTATTTAATTTTCTAAATCAAGAATTTAAATGAAAATTATAAATTTAAGTTATACGAATTAATTATATTGATTTGACATAATCTTTATATTGGGTACTCTAAAATGTTTTCCTTGTTTTTATATTCCTCATAAAAAATTTTATTCAAGGAAACGTATTTAAAAAAAAAATACTGAAACAATAATTATAGTTCATGCATAAAAATTTCCGATAGAGTAAATATAAACTTTGAGAATATTTTTCAAAACAAAAAAAACCGGGTTTTATTCAAATAAAAACTTCTTATCTGTCTTTTTTTTTTGTTTTAGGATTTATTAACGAAACATAAATCTTTATGTGCAGATTTTCTCGAAAGAAATTATGATCAATTTTTTAATAAATATCGTGATCTACTTAATTCAGAAAATTATGTTACACGTCGGCAATCATTAAAAGTAAGAACACCTTTTATTTATTTTTTTTCTTTATTCTATTCATTTCATTTCTTTTTCTTTTTTTACAAATAATAAAAACTCATAGATTTTATCAACAATTATTTTGGAAAATACTAATTTGAGTATATTAAAAAAGTTTTCATGTGATATAGATAAATTTACTCTTATCTATGGATTATTTCCATCAGAAGCTTTTGCTTTAAATACAAAATCAGGAATAATTACAAATCTTATGACTCTATCTGCTTTTGATATATACAAACGAGAAGTTTTTGATCTATTCAAAGTAGTTTAAATAATTCATTGTTCTTTTTTTTGTTTTATTTTTGCATTTTTATATTAAGTTAAAAATTTTGCAAAAAAAAAAAACTTCATTTATTGTTTATTTTCAGCTGCTTGGCGAATTGTTGCTCGATCGTTATAATTTTTCGGTGATGACAAGATATATATCGAATACAGACAATCTCAAACAACAAATGAATTTATTAAAAGAAAAAAGCAAAAATATACAATTTGAAGCATTTCATGTTTTTAAGGTTTTGTTTTTGTTTGTTTATCTTTCTTTTCATTTTGCTATTAACAAAAAAAAAAAAAGAAAAAGAAAGCAAAACAAAATGAAATTTAATTTTGTTTTTTTTTTTTTTTATTTTTATTATAATTATTTAGATATTTGTGGCCAATCCAACAAAACCAAAAGCAATATCTGATATACTTCTTCGTAATCGAGAAAGACTTATTGATTTTCTTACGACGTTCCATACAGATCGTAAGTCTTGTTTATTTTTTAATTTATTAGATATTGATAGATAAAAAAAAACTAAATACTAATAGGTACGGATGACGAACAGTTCAATGATGAAAAAGCCTATTTGATCAAGCAAATCAGTGAATTAAAAGACACAAAAGCTTGAGGCACAATTTCGTTTTTTTTTTTTTTCGCTTGTGTATGTGTAATGTGTGTAAATTTTCGTCTTCTTTTTTTTGCTCATTATAAACACATACACAAAAATTTACCTTTTCTCTTTTTTTTTTTTTTTTACCCCAACAAAGAATTTGTGAATGACCGTCCTTGTAAACGTTTATTGTCATTGTCTTTTTTTTTTCTTTCTTTCTTTCTTTCATTCTCTTTTTTTTTCTTCTCTTTTCTTCTCGTTGTGTCTTTCATTGATGATTTGTGAGAGAGACAAAATTCTGCGCTATGTTGCTCTTGTGTTCGTTTGTTTATGCTATATTCATTACTGCCCGCTTCTTCGTCATGTTCATCACCTGTGTTGAGCTGACATACGTAGCAGTACAACACTTTTTTTTTCTCCTTTCTTTTTCTTTTTGTTCTTGTATTGTTGTTCTTGTCGTTCAATACGACAGACAGACATACATTTACATATGTGCACGGTCAGGTTACTAATGTTAGAGAAAGAACTATGTAGTATATAAGTGAGAAAGAAAAAAACATACACACACACACACACACCAAACTCAGTAAGAGAGAATATACGATTGTGCAATCAATCATTAAAAATGATATGAATAAAACAAAAGAAAATGTTGATGATTGATTGTTTCATTTTCGATCTATTAATTTTTATTACTTATAAAAAAAAACAACGAAAGAAAAAGATCGAATTTTGAATGAGATTCATATTGATAGAATATTAACAAGCTATGGGTACATGAGAGTTTTCAAAAAACGACATAGTAAATTATTGGAATATGGTATAATTATTGTCACAAATAAAATGACAAACGACTATGTTTTTTTATCATTTATAGACCATAATATATCATTCCTATATACAATTCGTTCTATTATCGTTTAACGGTTATTATTTCACACACCATGTCGATATGATATGTTGTTTTGTAAATAGTGAATGTCATGAAATTTATTGAGAGAAATATATACATATATAATAAAATAGAATGACTGATTATTCCATTGAAATCTGAAGATAAAGAAAAAATTTTTAATAATTCATAATATAAAATTAATGCAACGTATTTTCTAGAAAATGTCAGATGTCACAATAATAATGTTGTTTTTCTTCCTATCTGCGTTTATTTACAAGAAAACTTTGCCGTTAATAAAGAACTATGCGAAGAAAACAATTATTCCATTGAGGAAGAATGTAAAAGACAAGCAAACAAATGTATTTGATGAAATATCTTGTCGAATGTTTATTATTAACTACTTTTTCATAATAGTATACATTCGCTTACGGCCATACCACGTTGAATACACCAGTTCTCGTCCGATCACTGAAGTTAAGCAACGTCGGGCTCGGTTAGTACTTGGATGGGTGACCGCCTGGGAATACCGAGTGTCGTAAGCTTTTTCTCACAAAATTTTTTTTGTTGTTCATTCTTTATTAAAAAATTTCAACAATTCTATACTTCTCCATCAACTGTTATTTTCATACATTGACTTCGAGGACTAAAGTTTTGAAGAAAAACAAAAAATACTTCATTTGTCTGACAAGAAAATACATTATATAAGTCAATAAAACAATATGATCAAATTATAAAAATATGATAATTATCTTGTAATTTTATCAATATGAATTTATTTGAAATTTCTCATAAATGTTTGTTTTTGTTATTTAAATTCCATTAAATACTTTATCAACAAGTATGAAACTAGTTCTATAGAAAATTCATTGTTTAGATAGTTTGAATTTTTGTGTTTCACTATAAATTTCGTATTGTGTTTATGAAGCTATTGTGTAATTCCATTTGCATAATATAATGATATCGAATTAGTATGATGTATAGAGTATGTAATAATATTTATTCAAGGGAATAGCACTGTCATTCAGAATAGTACAAATAATAAATTTTTGTATTCAATAAAAACTCGTTGAAAATGAAATTTATGCATACGAATCGATGATAGTCATGAAGATATCTTGTTGTCAAATTCTAAAGATTTCTAGTAATTTATAAATCATATTGATAAGACAAAATGTCTTTTCACGAGAAAAAGATCAAATTAGCCGTGATATAAAAAGAATGAACATAGCAAACTTCTATCTAATTTTTTATAGTTCATTAGGTCATGAAAAGCCAGTATAAGCTTGCTATTTTCATTCTTTTTATATCAACGTTAATTTGATCTTTTTCTTATGAAACAACATTTTGCTATATCTAGAGTTTGTAACCATCTAGAAATCTTCATAATCCGACAGCAAATTATCTTCAAAAAATTTTATTAACTCATTTTCAACGAAATTTATTATTTATATTATTCGTAAAGGCAACACTGTCCCTTTGGAAAAATATTATCATGCATACTGTACTTAAACAAAGAATTGACCTAGAAATTCAAATAACAACAACAAATATGAATTAATTTTCATTTGGTGATATGAATTGATTTCACAGAAACATTTTCCCATCTGTGTTACAATTCAGAAATAAACAAGTCAAATTAAAAATAATTTCTATACATTTAAATATCTTCAACACTTGAAATTTGATTTCTAATTTGAAATGTAGTAGATAAATAGCAAATCAAGAACAACAAATATTGTCATTGAATGGATTAACATTGAAATAAAATCAAGTATTTTGAAATAAGTATATTGACAATATTTTTTTTTAGCTTATTTCTCAAATCATATGTGCTTAGTTTTTTTTTTTTTATAATAACTTGATCTCTTTGTATTATCATTATCAAATTAGAAAAAAAAAATATTTCTTATAAAATTATCAGAAATGAACAAGTCACGTTAAACTTTGACTTAGAAACGAATGTAACTTGATTTATGTCAAAAAATTGTTGACATACCGATCTCTATGTCATTTACTACCTAGTAAGTCATTTTTGTAATATAAATTGAGCATAAATTATTCTGTATTGAATCAAATTGTAGAATTTGATTAACATAATTCGGTAATATCTTATTACATTCAATGTGTTGGATTTAATACCATTTATGTCTTACAATTTGGTTTGTTTTTTTTTTTTTGAAGGTTTTTTAACTAATAGTTTTGCTAATGAACTATATACGCATTAATTCGATAAGTAACAATGACAGATATCATCAGTTTTAGCTTCTCAAAATAACTCTAAAATATTTATTGTCGATTGAAAAGGTCGTTAGAACCTGCATAGACGACTTCTTTTTTTTCGTAGATAAATAACAAAACAAGTTATTAGTAAATTTTATTAAAGATTCTATTCTACATTTTACATAACTACTTCGCTAAATGCATTTAAAATTAATTATATCGATAATACTTATGGGGTTTTTTTTTCTGTTCTTAATACTTTGATAAATATCAAAAAAGTTTCATCAATATTGGTATTATTAATACCTGATGTTCATAATATTCATATGATATATATTCACTAGAGTCTTTTCAAGTGCATTTTTATTCATTAAAGATTAGTCTCTACAGAAATAGAATATTTAAATTCCATTGTGATTTTTCTATATCGTATAAATTCTTGAGTGTATAATATTTTAAAGATAAAAAAAAATACACATCATTTTTTTTTTCATATATCAATAACAAATTCGATTTTGATGTAAAGTCGTTTGTAAACTTTGTATACTTCCTAAATCTATAGATGTGTTGGTTGAATTAGTAGAATATATTTTGTTTTTTTTTTTCGTGTGAATGATGTTAATGTATTTTATTGAAAAATTATATTATCGAGATTATTTCTGGCACTATTAAACAATATTAACTTAATGTACTAGATGAAAATTTTTTGTGAAAAATGCCAGAATCCACTTTTTTTTTCCTCTCTAACATATTGTCAATGTCAACTTATTCTAAATTACCTTTGAAATAATAGAGTTCAAAAAAACAACAAAATAATTATTTTTATTTATTGATAGACTGTGCAATGTCATATTTTTACTTCATTTAAAACAAAAAATATATTGTCATATTCAGAGATGAATGTACTTGATAATAATATTTGATGTAAAGTTAGGAGATCATAACTGATTTATTCTATATAATCGATCTAATATTGTCTCACTACACAAAATAAGTTACAAGGGCTTTTCAAACGATTCTAATATTATATCTTAGTTGCATATTCATATTTCATTATCTTTTAAAGACAAGATCTATGATATAATATTATATTGAAAAATTAATCTAAAGTTAGAAAGATAATTTATCTTTTCAATAGGAATTAATATAAAATCTTTAATATTCAAAATAAATCACAATTTGGTTAAATTTTATCTTGAAATTGAATACTATTTACAACTTCGAAAAAAACAAGCATGTGATATTGAAATATCAATGCAAATATTATACTCCGTTTGTATATAAATATTAATATTTTTTTTTCTATTGAAAGAACATGCTGTTGCATATCGCATAATTAAAAGTGATCTTTAAAAAGAAATAATAATATAGTTTGTTTTTAAAAAGAATATCTAAATAATATAACACCAAAAAATAGTATCGATCGTAATCTTTTTTTTTTTTCTACATTTCAATTCAACTATTCTCATAAAAAAAGAACACAAAAGTTCTCTATAATAAAATGTTAATAATTGAATTAATCATCAGAGGTCACGAAAGCGGAGACCGTGTACACCCCTCTCCGCCCCTCCAATCTTGAGACTCTCATCCGACTTCTGTCAATCAGTGACATTTTATTATGAAAATTTACTAATTATATATGAAATGTTTGATCTAAGAATACATAAGGAAAACATAATGATAGTTGCTGATTCGTTTATGTTTACTTCCAAAAATAATATTCCTATATTGATCTTTTTCTTTTGGAGTTTTCAAATATTCGAATAATTGGTTAAAATAGATTATGGTGTTAAGTTTATGAACATTCGATAAAAAACAAACTCTAATAAAGTAATTCTCAAAGAATTGTTTAATATTTTTATTAAATGAAATTTATTATATAAAAGATTTAAATGTATATTTGTCAGTCGTTTGTAAATATTTATATATTAGATAAATATTCAATAATAATTGATTAAATATTGAAGTTTGGCACCTGTTTAGATCAACTAGAAAAGATATTTCTGGAATTACCTAGATGTCAAAGTTTTTTTAACATTAATATATATAAATGAAGTTATAAGTCTATAGAAATATTTGAAGTCTATCCAAACGTAAGAATTTTTATAGTTAATCTTATTTTATACGATAGAATATTTTAAACATATAAAAATAAAATTTTTAAAGTTATCGGTTGAATTCGAAATCGACATTTTTCTAATGATCTTTGCTAACGAAAAGTGTTCACAACTAATGAGTAATTTCGAAAAATAAGACTTTTTCCAGCAATCAAAATTAGTGAAGCCACATATTTTCTGTTTGAATAGAGTTTGTGATCTCACTACAAAAGCTCATTATATAAAAAAACACAATATAGTTTTCCAATTTGACATTATGAGAAAAATTTCATTGAATGTTTTACCAAAAAAAAAATGAAGCGTTTGGTAAAACTCTTTCCTATGAAATCTATGGTTTTTTTTAACTCGAATATTTTGATACCATTAGAGAGTTCGCGTCGCATTGTTTACACCACTCTAAAAACGTATTCTTCATATTTCATTTATTGTTTTGTATTATATTTAGTATGAATACTATATTGAAAAGTCATACTTTTCATTTACTAATTTGTAATTAGCAAAAACTTTTTGTTTACAATCAGGTGATTGTTTTTTAATTAGAAATGTATTATTAGTATGCAATAGTAGACATGTTGCAAACCTACGATATTTTAATATTATATCCGGTTTTTTTTGTGATATATAGACTTTATAATGCAAACAAAAAGTTTGTTATTTTAGTAGTAATATTTAGAGTGCATTCTTATGATTAATATTCAGTGCATTTATTTGTATTCTATTTGATGAATAAGTGCATGATTATTATGTTCAAGTATATAATTTCCACTTGTCAACATGAGACAATTAAGATGGATTTATGTAAAATTCAAGATGATTTATTTTTTTGAATTGTACTTCAATAAAAAAAAATCTTTTTTTAGTACAAAAATCTATGTCAAATAGATTAATAAATGTTTAATAAAAAGAGAACCTTCGAGCTCAAACCAATATTATTTTCCTATAAAAACAATCGAATTACATTAAAGATAAAAGCTATCAGCATAATCCCTGTGGAGCCAAACTGTAAAACATGATGTAGCTGCTTTTCCTAAACACAGAAAGATTGTTTTATTCTATCTATCTTGGGACACATTTCTTCACCATCCCTATATTCAATCTTCCAGCAATGCAATAGGGACGTATTTCATTTATTATACCTCGATGTTATTGATATACGGTTAATGATCATATGTCAATGTCTGTCATGACCTACGAGGAGATTCAAATTTTCATTCTTATAGTTCGCCAATTACTTTTAGAAAATGTTTCACAAGACTTTTGTTGTTTTACTTTCTAAATATAAAACAAAAAATTAAATGATACATGATAAAATATACAATCAATGATCTTTCATTATAAATATAATTTCAGCATTACTAATATGGTTATTTTGTTTAATACGTTGACATAAGTACATTGATTGTTTAAGATAACTTATCTTTATAACCGGATTGTGACAATAAATCATGCCGGTCATATTTTATATGAAACACATAAAAGAAATATTTCTTATTGTGTAGTTTTTATTTTTAATTTTTGACTAGAAGATATACTGAAATTTCATATGAGAGATTCTAGATTTAATTTATAATCAATTAAAAAAATTTATAAAAGAATATTTCCCTTAAGATATAAACAATAAAAAAACATCCATATCTCCTCAACATAAACTTACTCTTTGACTACATTTAATGATAGGCTATTAATAATTTTTATATTAATCTAACACAAAAAAAAACAAAAACCATCCAATATCGATCAATAAGACATAAGAATAAATATTATCATATCAACAAATCTATTATCTAGATGATTAAAAACAAAAAAGGTGATACTAAAAAATCAATATGATATAATTACATATACATGGATACTGTCTATTACCTAATACATGATAATAAACAGATAATCAAATGATTAGATACAACATGTTACACTATTATATCTCTTAACATTCATGTAGTATTGATGTTGGTAATAAAAAAAACGAAAAGGTATCTACCGGATATTGACTGGTACATTCCGGATGCAGGTATAGCACAAAAGAGTGGGACATCGATTTTCATTTATTTTCTCGTTACATGAAGTAGTTATCCACAAGGAATAGGAGTTGTTTTCTTTTTGTTATATCCAACAAAAAAGAGAGAAGAGAAACTTTTTGTATCAAGTATTACTTTCTCGATTTTTTTTTTCTTCTTTTCTAGTTTGTCGAGCAAAAAAAAATATAGATAGAAAAAAAAAATAGAGCAATGAAAAGAAAATAAGAAAAGAGATAATCATTCAGAAAACTTATACAATCCATTTAGTTGTCGATCTCTGAAACACCTGTCAAGCAAACATCCGTCATTATTGACACTTTTTCATACACATTTATCTATAAAAAGTTTTTTCTCTTATATTATTATTTAATTCTACTTCTGTACTATTTTCAATTTGTAGGGTCTTACATACATACATATTTCCTAATCTTGAAATTTGTCTTCTTCTTGTTATTATTCTTTCAAATCAACTATCATATTCTATGATTCATTGATGGCTCCATCAACATTTTGGTTCATAAAATGTAAGTTATTCAATATTATACATTATTTAAGAAAAATATTCTTCTTTTTCTTGATTTATTATTTTATTTATCTAAAAAAATAAATGATCAAACTAAAACATTTAGGGATATGTATAACTAAATATAACATAGTTACTACACAAAAAAAAACAATTTATCTATCTAGTAACTTTCATTTAATTTGACATGTTAAATAAATACTTCAGTTAAAAATAGATAAAATTGTGTCTACTAGACATGAAATATGTTTTTCTTAGAATAATAGTATACATGCAATCAACAATGTTAAAGATGCATATTACAAAAATACTTCCGACTATCGTCTTAAACGAAAGTCATAGTCATGTTTGTCGTATGACAATCTTGTCTACTTTTGTAGTGATTATCTTTGTTGTGCTTTTATGCACGTTTGTTCAATTCATCAGCACGCAACCACTACTTGATGATGATGACGAAGATCAAACACAACTTGATAGTCCATTTTTCAACAATTATGTTATTGCTTCTGGTCGAATTCCTAATAATATTCATCATAAATTGAATATTCCTCAATATTTATATGATGATCATGAACAAAACAAATTATTTCATCAAAATAAACAATATTATCCTGACAGTGATCAATTCGTCAAACGTATTATTATGTTACCACGTGTTGGCCGTCGTTCAATTTGATCGATTTCTTAAAAATAATAAAAAATAAACAACAAAATCTCAATAAAAATATATTTCATTGTTATTTTCTCGTTTCTTTATAAAACATCATAGAATAATAAAAGATTTCAACGTGTATGAAAAAAAAAAAAGCTGAAGAAAATAATAAATAAAAGAAAATATCAAAGAAGAGAATGTTCTTTTTTTGGTCTAATAATCATCAATCAATTTTCTTCTCTTTTTGTTTCTTTCACCCACAAAAAAAAAAGATCTTTTTCCTTTTGATTAATAATTTGATTTTATTAAAATATTAGTTTATTATACGACAACAAAAATAAAATATTAATTAAGATAAATAATTTTCGTCTTATCAGATCAATTCGTTTTTTTTTTCGTTAGATTAGTAGAAAACGAAAAATGTAATATACATATACATATACATATACAACACAACATATTGTCAATAATAATAAATAAGATTCATTGCACAATGATTAAATAAAAACATAAAATTATATTTATTTTGATTATTCTATAATATCTTCAGGTTCAGGAGCTTTTTTATCAATAATTAATTGTTGATCTTCAGATACGTCATCGATTGGTTTGATTTCTTTATAACGTAAACCAAGTGCACCAAAAATAAGTGCACCACAAGCCATTAAAACAGCAAATAAAAAAAATTCACCTGCCTAAAAGAAAAAAATAAATTTTTGATTTTTGATTTTTGATCGTTCAAATTGAAAGTTTCTTCATACTTGATTTTTAACTAATCGAACTTCAGCAACAAGAACTACAATAAGATCACCTATAGCTGTTGTTAATAACCATGCTGACATAATTACTGATTTATAACGTTTTGGTGCTTGAGAATAAGCAAATATAAGACCTGTTATACTAACAAGTATTTCTGCAACAGTTAATAAAATATATTGAATTATTTGCCATAAAATATGTACTGTTAATGGTGGTACATCTTCGATACAAATAACATGCAACTAAAACAATAAAATTACGAAAATTTTGTTTTTTTTATCATTCTGACTAATAAAATTTTCTCGATATATATTCGAATTATTCATTAAGGAAAATATTTTATTACAACTTCAGTTAGCAATAAATTTTACGTTTTGATTTTTTTCATAGAAAAAGAAACAACATGTATAACATAGGTTTTTGATGAGGTAATATTGAAGATTAAAATGTGATGTAGCGTAAAATTAAAAAAGAACGCATATTGAAATACGCCAAAGGAATATAGAAAATTTTTTTAATAACTTTTTTTTTTTTAAACTTATATATAAACAGGATAATAAACTTCATTTATTTATATATAAGATAAGCATCAACTTAATCTTGTTTGATTTTAATTCTTAATACTCTTTTACAATTCTAATTTCACGTTAGTCATTAATTTAAATCTTATTATCGTACTCTGATGGTAATCATATTATAGAAACCAATGAATTTTTGATCCATAGTTTAATACTTCTATTGCATCTTAATTACAAAATATTTTGTAAGTGTCAACATACATAATTTTAATTGAGTTATGTCTTTTTCTCGAGTTTTACAAGTCATAGATAATAAAAACATAACAGTTTCGTCAACAAATAAGGTAAATTTAGAAGAAAAAATATCCTTGAACTTTTGAATAATAATGACAGACAGTTATTAGAAGTTTGTTCTTATCTAAAAAATGTTTGACAAGAAACCTTGACAGACTATATTAAGATTATATAAATCAGTACTCAAGAAATGAGTTTACAACTTAACACAAAAAGAAAATTACATCATATGTAATTATACTAAGCTATTAGAAAGCAATAAGATTATAAATAATGATACTTAACTTATCTGCCTCGTTTCTGATGTTAGAATTGCATGATACAGGTAATTATGAGTAATATAATATTTTATAATCAAAAAGATTTTATAGAATGAAATTGCTTGTATTAAGTACACACTATCGTTTTTGTTCTAAAAATTTTCTCATTCAAACAAAATAAGTTTTTCAAATATAAAACAAGCATTTTTACTATAGTCCTATCAACTAAAATTAGAATTTGAATTTTGATTCTTTTTTTTTCAAAATGTTATTATCCACTCTTATTTAATAGATATTGTATCTATACATGATTGATATGTGGTTGTATAGTGCAACTTGTCTACAGTTTATACTATTGATATCGTTTCATTAACAATGTATAGAAAGGAATAAATAAAAATTGTTTAGT